AGTGGTTTATGTTGTTTTCTCCCTCTTTTTTTTTTTTTTTTTTTTTTTTTTTCTCTTTTCTCTTCACCTCTACCAATGTTTGGCCAATACAGGAAGTGAAGAGCCAAGTATAGACTTGTTGGTTTGTGAAGCTGTTGCCCACCAGAAGAGGGATGTGGGGTCTGTGGCAGGCGAGAGGTCCCTGGCCTGTGGGAAGAGCCTCCCTGTCCCTCACTTGCTTGTCCCTGATGAGGCATCTGGATGGATGACACCAGGTGTTTGTTTTTGAGTGACGATCACGGCTCTCTGCAGGGACAGGATCGAGAAGTGAGCAAGCGATGGTATGTGTTCGCTCACTTCCCGATCTATTGAGCTGATGTGTGACAGTTTCATCGTCACAGGTCGGCTAGAACTATGAGGATGAGTGATTTTCACTCGCCTCATAGTTCTCCTTTTAAACGATAAGTGCAGTTATCCTTTTTGCCTCTTCCCCTACCCCTACTTACCTCAACCTGGTGGCTGTTTTTTTTACATTTCCTGGCAGAACCTGCACCTTAGTGCCCCATAAACATCTATGGGTCTGGTTCCGAAGGTCCGAGATGGGGGAGTGTTGTAGGGGTAATGGGTTAACCGCACTGTGCTCTAAAGTGCCGTTATCCCTTTTAATGTGAACCTGTGCTCCTCTCATGCAAGGCAACAGTTTAGAAGTCTCTCCACCAGCAGCACTTACTGGCTTTGCCTTTCCTGCTGCTCCATTCATACTTCCATGCAAGTCAGTAAGCCAGTGCTCAGCTGGCAGGAGTAAGGAGAGTAAAGGTCCCCACACACCCTGCGATAATCGCGGGAAATCCCGCGATCATACGATTATCGTAAGCTGTGTGGAAGCCGTGCGACCTCTACTACTGTAAGGTCGCACAACTTTTATTTTAGGAACATGTTCGAAAACCCGCTGAGCATCGTACGATGTTCCGCGGGTGTGTAGCATGTTTGTAAGATAAAAGCTGGATGGGCCGGTTTGCGCAAGCTCACACTGCCCGTTCTGCACAGGGTTAACTCTTCACTCCTGCCAGCTGAGCACATTGGCATGGGAATGATGGCAAGGTAAGCAAGCTGGTGGGACCCGTTTTAATGTGAACCTGTTGCTTTGCCCCGATTGCGCTGCAGAACCAAAGTGTACTGCACAGTATTTTCCAACACTAGGATGCAGCCTTTTGCCCAGATTGTGGTGAAAGAGATGTTTCCATAGAGACAAAAGTTTTAAAACCATATTTTGTATTAAATTGTTTTATGCAAATGTACAAATCAGTAAACAGACAATAAAAAAACAAAGATAAAATTTAAATCTTTACACGCCTCCAAATTTTCTGCAAGTAATAACAGACGTCTGGCTATACAATGAAAATGTTGGTATTTCCAGAGGCAAATTGCAGGTTTACATTGGAATACTGTGCCATGCCTGAGCTGCCATTGACCTCGGGTCACCTGACCCAACTATAAATTGATAAATACCTAGACAAGCAGCAGTCTGGTAATTGGGGATACGTATCACTGGTCAGCATACAAAACCTGTACTTGTTTCAAAGTCAAATTTGGCAACATGTCCCATTTGTCTATAAATCTAATAAAAACTAATAGCAACTCAATGTCTGCTTTAAACATTCCCACTTTGGGTAAAAGAATTAGTCATGGATACTCAAGATTTCAGTGTGTTTCAGTGTGTTTGTTGTTAAAGGAGAACTATGGGGTCAGGGCTTTTCCCCATAGTTCTCCTCCAGTCACCCAAAGCTCAGTATAGCGCGAGCTACAGCTCCCGGTATACTGAGACGCCGGAGCGGATCCTGACAATTCTGTCTGGATCCGCCCAGCTGCGTGACTGACAGCTGGCTCTGCCTATCTAGAGTCGGAGCCAGCTGTACCCGCCCCCTCCCTTTCCGCCAGTCAGCGCTGGAGGATCGGACAGGGGAGGGGGGAAATCCAGTCCCTCCCCTGTCACGGCTCTCTGCAGGGATAGATGGAGAAGTGAGTGAGTATGTGTTCGCTCACCTCCCGATCTACTGAACCGACCTGTGACAGTTTCATTGTCACAGGTCGGCTCAGATTATGAGGCTGAGCGAAACATCACTCGCCTCATAATTCTCCTTTTTAACCTGATTTTAAATGTAAGTGCACTTTGTCTTCCCAGAGTCTGATCGTCAAAGCTAAACAGTAAAGTGACCCCGTCACCAAAGTCTATTTTAGCCAATAGATCACCTGTAAAAGAATAGTGAATATACTTTCCTATCTGGCAGCCCGTGTATTGAAATGCTGCCATGTCTGCAAGTATTCTACATTCTGGGTGCGTGGAATACATGATCCACCTCTGGTTCCTTCTGCCAGCTCGTAATATCACTGCAGGGCATAAAAGATGGTGGTGACAGCAAGTATTTGACTTTACTTGATTATCTGACAGCTTGTGTATTGAAAAGCTGCTGCAAATAAATATTCAACCATCAGTTTATTCCCTCTTCATTTACAGGTGACCGATTTGGCTAAAGTGACCCTGTGATGAGAGGGTCACATCAAAGTTTAGCTTTGGTGAGCAGGATGGCTCACTTTAAATTCCCATTTTAACATTTCTAGTCTGTTGTGGCGTGTTGCACTAAAGATCCCCACACACCTTACGATAATCGTGGGAAATCCCGCGATCGTACGATTATCGTAAGGTGTGTGGAAGCCGTGCGACCTCTACTACTATAAGGTCGCACGACTTTTAACTTACGGACATGTTCGAAAACCCGCCGAGCATCGTACGATGTTCGGCGGGTTTGTGGCATGTTCGTACGATAAAAGCCGGATGGGCCGGTGTGCGCAAGCGCACACTGCACGTTCGGCATTGCGGTCATCGGAAGCCCGCCCCTCGGGGTGTGGCTTGCGATCATCGCAAGTACGATCTGCCTATGCAAGATAGGCAGATCGTACGTTCTTTTAAGTACCTTACAACCATCGCAAGACAAAAGTCTTGCGATGGTTGTAAGCTGTGTGCCCAGCCTAAGGCAGCCCTTTCATTATGAAGAGGCTGGCAATGCACCTCCATGGACCACAATGCACAATATGTGGTATACTGCCCTGTGTTGTGCATTGGCAGCAACTGTACAGTGCCTTGGGGGCGCTATTCACAATGACTGGCACCACACTGCACATAGGTTCAGAATCTAAGGCGGTCATTCTGATCCTGGCCTCAACCTTGCATGTGACTGACTTGAAACAAGCATGCTGCCCCATGAAGTCTAACATTCCTTCATACATACTCTTCCAGCTTGGAGACTCGCAAGGTAATGACGACCGGACGGCTGAAAGTCTGCACCTTGTCAAACAAACTAGCAATTATTATCATACAGGATTTATATAGCGCTAACAGTTTGCGCAGCGCTTTACAATATAAGGAAGACATTACAATCGCAATACAATACCTGAAGCAATGGTGACTGTTTCTATCTTCCCGCAGGTGGTGCCATCTGTATCCATGTACCAGAGGATCTGGTCTGTCCTATATGTTTATATTACAATGGGCAGGCACTGAGCCGCTCTGGATTGCTGTACTGGCCGGTACTGTATGCTGGAGTCAGGCTTGGTACATTGGAGGATTCGTGCACTTGGTACTTGTCTGTGTTCATCCTTTGTGGGGAAGGCAAACTTGGTGTCTTGGTAATTGTGTTTGGAAAGACTTTGTTAAGCTGCTGTAGAAGATATTCATTTGTGCAAACTAATGACCTGCAGAGAAGAGCAAAGCCTGAGAATGGCAGCTATTGTGCATTATGTTATAAATAACAGTGTTCCAACACCATGCGTATATGAAGTTTATATAGTAGTGGAATGTATATACAGTGTATAGTGTCTTGTCGAATAATGAGTTGGGCTTTAAAGAGACCCTGTGACCAAACTAATCAATTGCAGGCTTTGTCTTTGAATCCAAAAAGCTATATTGCAATTCCAACAAACGCACAAAGCCAGACCGAAGCACATCACTCTCTGCTAGACCCCTAAACTCTTACGTACTCGCGACATGTTTCACCCCTATAGGGGCTTAGTTACACTTGAAGTCATGACTAGCCCCTATAGGGGTGAAACATGCCAGGGGAGTTGGAGTTTAGGGGTCTAGCAGAGAGTGGTGTGCTTCGGTCTGGCTTTGTGAGTTTTATTGGAATTGCAACTTTTTTTTTCTGTTTTGGATTTAAATGTTTCATTGCATTCTCTTTGCAGACTTTTTTTTAAACTTAACTTGTAATGTGCCTCTGAACTTGCTAGGGAATTGACATTTCAGAAAGTGCCTATTCCCTAGCACAGCGCGCTCAGCAAGTGCCTACAAACCCCCCCCCCCCCCCCCCCACC